TTTGCCCTTTATTTATATTTTGGGTTTCTCATATAAATGAAACCATGCTATATTTAAGCTTGTGTGTGTGGTTTATTTCACTTAATATTACAGCTTCAAGGTGCATCCATTTTCCTACAAATGACTCGAGTTTTTCTTCTTTATAGCAGAATAGTACTCCATTGTGTATAAATACTACATTTTCTTTATCCATTCATCTGTTGATGGACATATAGGCTGCTTTCAAGATTTTGTTATTATGAATTGTGCTGCTATAAACATGGATCACTGTAATATGATGTCTTTAATTCTTTTAAGAATAGAAAGGGAGTAGCTGGGTTGGATTGAATTTCTAGTTTTAATTTTTTGAAGAATTTCCATTCCATACTGATTTCCATATTTGTACTAGTTTACATTCCCATCAGCAGTGTAAGGGGATTTCTTTTTCTCCACAGCCTTTCCAATATTTATTGTTTGATTTCTTGATGATAGACATTCTTTCTGGAGTGAGAAGTAATCTCAGTGTTGCTTTAATTTGTATTTGTCTAATGGACAGAGACATGAACTTGTTTTACGTATTTATGGACCATCTGTACTTCTTCTCAGAAGTGTCTATTCATTTCAGTGGCCCATTTTTTAAAATTAAATTTTAGGGGGTCTAAATCTTTTAGTTCTTTATACACTCTAGATACCAGGCCTCTGTCTGAAGGAGAGTTAGCATTTTTTTCCCATCCTGTAGATTATCTCTTCACTCTGTTGGTTGTGTCCTTTGCTGTGTAGAAGATTTTATTTTATCCCATTTGTTGATTCTTAATGTCATTTCTTGTGTGATTGGGGTTCTGTTCAGTAAGTCCTTGCCTATGCCTATGTCTTCAAGAGTTTTACCTATTTTGTCTTCCAACAGATTGTTTCTATTTTAACATTTAGATCTTTAAATCTTTTTTATTTTTTCTGGTACAGGGACTCTAACTTAGGATTTTGTGCTTGCAAGGCAGGTGTAGTGCCACTGAGCTAAATCCCCAGCCCATAAGTCATCTTGATTTTAGTTTAGTACATGACAAGAGTCAGTCTTCTGTATGTGGATAGCCAGTTTTTCCAGTACCATTTGCAAAACAGGCTATCTTTCTTCCAGTGTTTTTGGCCTCTAGTCCACTTATTTTCATCAAATGTTCTTTCTCTGAGGTTATTTTATATCATAGTAGGATTTCTGCTTTTTATTTTATTAATTTCATCACTTGAATGACAACTTTCTAATTTTGAAATCATCTTGCATTCAGAAGAAACCCAACTTGGTCAATATGCATTTTTAAATATATTGCTTTATTTGGTTTGATAATAATGTATTTCTATCTACATCCATCATTGAAATTGACCTACAATCTTCCTTTCTCTTATTTTCCTCATCCTAATTGAGTATCAAGGTAACACTAGGCACATACAATGCAGAGGGTGGTTTTCCTGCTTTTTAGGAATTTGAGGACATTTACACAGGATATGGAGTTTCTGCTCCACGAATGTGTACCTGAGCCCAAGCTTGGTTGTTATAGTTATGTGCAACTCCCTGAAACCATCTTCTCTCTTACAACTTCCGTTTTGCCACTCGGTCAAGTTCTCAGTATGCTGCTACATAGTTTGTAGACGAGTCTCTCTCTCTCAGAAGGATCCTTGGCTCTTGCAAACACTCTGGCCATCCTATCAACGTGGCCAGACATGTTAGGAGGCTCAGGGTGGACAAGATCGGCTGAGTGAGACTTCAAGCCCACTACATATGGGATGGAGATCAAGCCATCCATTTCACCAGGCAGTGGGAAGTTGTGGCTGTGGTTATGGCTCTCATCTTGAGCTAATCCTCTCACTTTATGTTAGCAATAACGACAATGATATTTTTTCTTCCATAATTACTCATATTTTATTCCTTAGCATGTCATAATCTTGGCAAGAAGGCAAAAGTCTACTAAAAGTAGACCCCCTGGAAGCCCAAGGCAGCAGATACAGAGGGAAGGCTCAGGGTAATCAGCAGGGTACACAATTGGAGAAATGTTCCCCCAAAGAATGGCATAGCACCACTGCTGAGGATGGTATTTAGTAGTAGATGAGTAAACCTCTGTTACCGTAATAGTTGTGCAATTGTTTTACTGTGATTAGAGAATATAACTATATAATATAAATGGTAAAAGACATGACTATGATATCAAACTTGAAAATGTATAGAGTATTAGGCGTAGGATAGTCAATTTAAAGGAAAATACTACCATCAGTATATAATAAAGTGGTAAGAAGATGTGGTTGACCCAATATGTGGCACGAAAATGATAAAAGTTTGGACAATACTCAAAGGCCTATTTAGTGCATAACAAGCCAGCATCAACAGCACCCTCACCCGCTCCAAAAAAAGTCACATACATGTGCACACAATCACACTCTCTGGGATGTACAGAGATGGGGGCAGATTTTAAAATGAGAAAGAAGCATTTTCTAAAGGGACTGAGTGATCCTTTGCATAAAGCTGGGGTTCCTACTGATTGATGGTGTCTACAGTAAAGCCTTCATCTGAATGCAGGGTGGGAGCCCTGGATGAAAGCTTGTCTATCTGCAATCCTGTCCCCTAAACCCAAGCCTGATGGTGGATCTTCCCCACTTGTGAAGTATAAGGACAAATGAGAGATATTTGCAGACATGCAAAGATTCAGAAAGCTTTCCTTCCATGCACTTCTTTTAAAAAAGCATTTTTAAAAGACATTTCTGTAGCAAACTAGGGACATAATCCAAGAAAGAACAATTCAACAGATTCACAAAGCAGTGGAATTAACCCAGGAGCACAATGACTAGAAATACCAGAGGGCCGTAGAGCCATCTGTCAAAATTAGGGCAGGAAGTTGGTCTGTGTGGAGAAGAATGTTAACAAGAAAATAGGCTTCATTCAACAAATAGTACAATAGAGAAGCTGGAAGATTTTAATGCCCTGATTTAAAAGGCACATGTTTCTTCTCCAAAGAAAAGAGAAAAGCAATTAGAAACTCCAAGGAAACAGAAAGTTGTGTAAGAAAGTCATGGTTCACATATGAGATGAATGAAAATATAACATGATATTAAGTATTCGAGGGAGTGTAGCAGAATACACTTGAACTTTTAGCCTGAAACATTTGCCTTCAAGCAGCATTTAAACTCTGAGATTAGTTCCTTCTCTGTGGGTTCCAGGATGCTACTTACCTCTGCAGAGAATAATGTTTACATGACCATAGCATTTTTTAAAAAAATACTTTATTGATTTTCAATATTTGAAATTCAGAGACAGACAATACACAAAACTAGAAAATTTAAACATAAATATAGAACCAGATGCAAATGTAGTACTTTAGTAACAGGAGCTGGGGGAGGGAGGACAAGAGTGATAAAGGTTGCCTCAACTTACACAGTGGGGAGTCAAGGATTATTGCATAAAATTAATGGCACAAGAAACAAGAGCTGGAAAACTGTATATACAACCCCACTCTGGAGGGAAGTTACCATTGCTAAGTTTCTCATCTTCCACAGGAGGAACTGGGCTAGACACTGTTAATTCTCCAGTAACCACCTTCCCTTCATCCTTTAGTCATAGAAACCTTACATTTCTGATGGCCTCCAGCTGAATTGGCTCTCTGGCCATTTCCCAGCCTCCCTTGCAGCTACATGCAGCCAGGTAACCAAGCTTAGGTCACCTGGATATATGGAGAAGTAATGTGCTTTTCCATTAGTTGGAATATAGATGTGACCAGCCATCTCTGACCCAGGCCAAGAGTTTTGCCATAAACAATAATAGCTAATACATATATCTGTGCTAATTATGTGGCATGTACTTTTCTAACTGCTTCGCATATATTAACTCATTCAACCTGATGGAGATGTGTATCTATTTCTGATGGTTGTTGTAACAAATTACTACAAGGATAGTGACCTAAAACAACACAAATGTATCCTTTTGCATTATTGGAGGTCAGACATCTAAAATCAATGTGTCCACTGCTCTCTTCGGCAGACTCAGGAAAAATCACTGCTGGCTTTTTCCAGCCTCTAGAGGCCGTTGTGTTTCTTTGGCTCGTGATCCTGTCCCCTATCACCACACCCGTGTTTGCACCGGCACATCCTCTATTACTCTGATTTCCTGCCTCCATCTTAGAAGAACCCTTGTGATTACCTTGGGGCCCCTTCAATAGCCTATCTCAAAATTCCCAGCCTAATCAATACCACATAGTCCATTTGGACACAGAGTGTAGCAATTAGGACACAGACAGCTTTGGGGGAATATTATCCTCCCCACCACAGACTGGGACTACATTATTTCCATTTAACAGATGTTAAAACACAAGCCGAGAGAAGTTGAGTAGCATGCCAAGGGTCACACAGAAGGTAAGTGACAAATCCATGATTAAAGCCTGGACAGGGAGTGGGCCACTGACATCTGTGCACATAACCATGATAGTCTACTCTGTCAGACACAGATGTCCGGGTAACCT